TTAATTTAATTATAACAATTTTTTTATTATTTAATTCATATTTGTTTGCGATAAAATATAATAGAATCAAACACATTAGTTAACTAAATTGTTAATTAATCATAACTAACATAATTAGCAAAGACAACTGTAGATTTACATATTATATATAGAAACAAAGCTGCTTAATATTGTTAATTAAAAATATGACATACTGTTTCAAGACTGCTTATTTTTCAAGATTTAAATTATAATATTTTGCGTAAAATAAATCGCGATGACATTATTGTATATTTTAATAGATTACATTAAAAAAATATATATTATATATTACATTAATATATATACTATATTATACACTTATATCCTGTTTTTCAAATACTATAGAAGAAATTAGATTGCTTTTGCTTCCATCCTTTTAATTTAGTAAAGTAATGTGTACTTAATACATTAAGTTTCATAAAAAGTAGGAATATCGTAATGATCATAATAATTATCTACAATCATTTATGTTTTGTAAAGTTGTATGCCTATGGAGACAGTTATATATGTAACAATTCCGCGAAGCGAAAGCCATTTAATCTAGATAGTCTTTCAGTTTATTTTGTCGCTCGATACTTGCTTGTCGAATAGCAATTTTCACACATCTCGTATAATTCTCGCAATACTTTCTAACAATTCTATAAAAAGAAAGTGAAAATTTTTTTGAAGTTTTCGTGAAAAATATTGTGTTTTTGTGTTTATGCCAAAATAATTTAAAATTTACACGGTCCGCTAAATATAATTTAAAATTTACTGTCTGTAATTCAAAAATGGTAAAAATGATCGAGGCAGCGGTGTCATTATCGATTTGCGGCTTGGGTTTTTTTGAATATTCTCAAGGATGATCCAGGCCATATCTCACTTGCCTATACCTGCTGATTAAATGGAGTCTTTATACGTATCTCTTTTATTATTTAGCATACATTAATAATACTTTATATTCTTGTCCGCGGCCGAAACTAGTATAATGATAATATTCATCGCGATGTTTATCAACTTGTTTCGTTTTAAGGTAAGAATTCTGAATTATAATCCAAATTTATAGTGTGTCTTATATATGCTTATATATTTTTATATTTCTTATATATTTGCGACATTTTTTTATTGAAAAAAATAATAACAATCCTTCAGCACACATATTCTTTCTTCTATATACAATATAAATTTTTCAGAAACTTTGATATCAATTTCGTGTATTCTTATTTATTGCAGACAAAATCTTTGGAAAAATTGGCGCATTTATATTTATATAAAATTTTATATTTTGAAGCCAATCCTATATTTCAGAAACGAGAGAGAATAGTAACATTAACAATCTCTTTATTAAAGACATTTTATCGTCACAATATACGTGTAGTGATTCTACGTGTGGCGATTCTACATAGGTTTTAGTGAGCTTTCCTTTCTGATTATTAATTTTAATTTGAAATTTGACAAACTTTGATATCAATTTCGTGTATTCTTATTTATTGCAGACAAAATCTTTGGAAAAATTGGCGCATTTATATTTATATAAAATTTTATATTTTGAAGCCAATCCTATATTTCAGAAACGAGAGAGAATAGTAACATTAACAATCTCTTTATTAAAGACATTTTATCGTCACAATATACGTGTAGTGATTCTACGTGTGGCGATTCTACATAGGTTTTAGCCTTTCTGCCTTTCTGATTATTAATTTTAATTTGAAATTTGACTGCAGCAATAAATATTGTGCATGTCAAGTTTTAAAATTCCAATTTAATTTTTATATATTTATATCCATGCTGAAGATGAACCAAAAACAGTCTAAAATATTCCTATTTTTAATGCACATTTATTAATAAAATTTAATAATAATAAATTTGCGCATCAATACCCGCGCCTTGGATCTTATCTGCCAATATTCCCACTTAATTTTTTGTACTCTGAATCTATTATTGTTATAATTAAAATTACATATGTATAGATCACAACACTGCAAGGAAATGGCCATCTAATCTAAATTGTCCACTCATTTATTATGTCGCTCGATATTCGCTGGTCGAATGGCGGTTACCATTGCAGTGTGATACTCGCAACGTTTTCAAGAAGATCTACGAAAAAAAGAGTGTAAGAACTTTTGAGATTTTTGCAAAAATTGTCAAAGCGTATTCATATCTCGTATAGCAAAATGTAATTCAGATTTGTAATAGGTGATACAAAAACTATGACAACAACAATTCAAGCAGCTCTGTCACCACTATTGATAGTCGGCTCATTCTGCGGCTTGGGCTTCTTCGAATACCCTCTTGGACGATGCAGGCCATATTTTACTTATTCGTATTCCTTGATCACGTGGAGTCTTTACACATATCTCTTCTACTATCTAGTTTATACTAGTTACACCGCATATTTTTTCATGTCCTGGTTCAATATAATAATAATAGCCACTGCAATTGTATCGATGCTTGTTAGTCTCTTTTGTTTTAAGGTAAAAATTTAGAACTATATTCCATATTTGTTGTATTATATCTTATATACTCAAATTTATTTAAATTAAGAGAATTCATTTTAATTTTTTACGATTATAAGAGAATTTAAATTTTTTAAACATTTCTTTAATTTATATTCATATTATATTATAAATAGAATATTTAGAAATATTAATGCATTTGTATATATATATATATATATTATATATCTATATATTTTAAATAAACCAAGTTTACATTTTAAAGACTAATAATAATATTAATAATCTTTTTTTTAAAGAATGCTCTCATAATCCATTATCAATAGCTTTCTAATACTTTGCATAATCAATCAATGTTATATTTTAAGGAATTAAAAATGTGTTTACATAAACTTTCCATCGTGGATGATACATTGGAAATGCTCGGAACGCCAAAAGAATATCGACGGCTATATAACTGGGTAATTGGAATAATAGTTGGATGGATTTCACTGATTTTTCTCATAAATGCATCTGACAGTTTGTGGTTGAACTACGAATATTTCAGTCTCACTCGTATCTGTGTTCCATTTGTGGCAAATCATTTAGTTCACGTCAATACCCTCAATATTTTGATATGGGTAACTATTCTAAGGTCAGTATATACGCGTGCTTGTCAAAGTTATTTTACAGACAATATGTAACAAAAATATTTTTAAAAAATATGAAAAATTAAGAAACTTTCTATTTAAATTTTATAGATGTTTTAATTTGCAAGATTTTTTAATACTTTAATATCCTATACACGTCGTTTAACTTCAAATTATGCCAATTAACATTATTTATTTCAAGAATATTATAACGAATGATGGTCTTATAGAATAATAAAATTTATTGCGTATGTAACTAAATATAAAATGCATTAAAATAAAAAAAATATATATAAGACAGAAAGAGAGAGAAAAAAAGCAGCTAGATATCGAATTTTTTCCAACTCTAATTCTTTATATTCAGATACATTAAATCCAGATTTCAACGGATCAACGAGCATATTTATAATATGTTGGAATATAAACGTACCAAAGGATGGAATACCTTACAATTAATTAGCGAGCAAAGAAGAGAAGTCAAAAAATATAAGCAATATATATGGATTTTAAGGTAATTGGTCTTAGAATCATTATATATATAATATTAATTAAAGAATAAATCAAGAAATCGATTATATTTTTACACACAAAGTATTCTTTTCTTATTTATCTGTACATACTTGTGATTTATTTTAATTATTTAATCTTTTATAATTCGATTACAGACACGTCCATTTACAACTATGCCTCATATCACGCGAGCTAAACAAAATATTCAGCTTGCCGATGACATTACAAATGGGATGTTACTTTGTGATATTCGTGGATGTGTCTCGGCATATTTACAGATTATATATAGATAGAAATAGAGATACTGATCTTGGACAAGTCCTAGATAATCTGTTTACCTGTATATGGGGTGCTGTACATAACGCAAAATTTCTCGCGTTAAATCTTATATGTCAAACTCTCTGCAATAAGGTAACACAATGAACTAATTGTCGATAAATTATAATTAACATAACAAAGATTACACGATATAAACATTGCAAATTTTGCAACAATAAAAAATATAATGACAAATAAAGCTGCTGTTAAATAGTTTTCATCCAAGTTACTTGATCTCATTATTTCTGTATATATTATTTAGCATTAACAATTTCCATTTTATATTAATGTAATTTTAGGCGAATGAGACAATAGCAATTCTTTACAAATTATTCCCTGAAGATCTTGAAGAAGATTTACAAGAACAGGTAAATTATTCCCGCATAATTTCATGCAATGTTTCAATTTTCAACTGTTCCATACGTTATCTCATATTTATTCAATTATTTATTTAAATTTAGATTCTACAATTTATACTACAAATAAAACAGAGAGAGCTAGAATTTTCTGGTATGGGACTTTTCAATTTTGGTTATAACTTCGTTCGTAAGGTATGCTCTATATTGTGTGTATATAAAAATATAAATTAATATCAAATAAAATACATACACACAAAAGTATTGTGCTTCGAGCCTTTCAAAGCCAAGAACACATATGTATGTTCTTTTTACACAAAATCTGATTTTCAATTTATAAAAGTGGTTTAAGAAGATTGTTTTTATCAGGTAAAAAATTAAAAATATATTTTTCAGTTCTATGCATCAGTTGTGACCGTCTTGGTGATTATAATACAGATGCATGTTCCTTATCCACATCATGTTATTCCACCTAGCAATGACAAATATTAAGCAAATGCATTAAAATATATATATATAATTTTTATTCTGTATATAATGCAAAATAAAATGCCAATATACATATATCCGTGTGTGTGTGTTTCTCACTCTTTCAAATAAATTTTTATTATTGTCCATTTACAGATTCCCAGTCTATCAAAAAAAAAAAAAAAATCTAGATATAAAGTAAAACAAAATGACCTACAATATAAAAACTTAAGTACGTATACAAATTTAAGTATCTTCATCCCATGTTCTGTACTTCATAGTAGTTTTAATTGTTTTGCCTATTTAATGCGACAGATATTAGCTTTTTTGCAGGAGATCAATTTTTTTAATTTGCTTAAGTGCTAACAAGCAATTTATTGCTAAATTAATGCATAATGTCATCTTCCTGACTACATCAAAGTCAAAATATCTTCCTTATTTTGCAGTATCACACTAGACATTACGAAGTGAAGTAAGTGCATAATTCACTTTCGACGACAAATATTGTCATGAAAAATATTCAAGCAGTTATACGTCCGCTTTCGATCGTCTTGTGCTTATGCGGATTCGAAGTATTCGAGTATCCTGAAGGTCGACCAAGATTATGTTTTACCATTTTTTACATTTTATTGATCTGGCTGTTTTATATATACCTCATTGGAACGTGGCTATTTCATAATGAATTTGGCATACTGAATGATATTGGCATACTCTTGCTAATTATAAGTAACACGAGTTTTTCAATAGCATATATATTGCTTAGCTTGTTTTATAATAAGGTATAATAATTTAAAATAATTTTGCAAATATTAAAAAAATGATAAGGTAAATGTTCAGATTAACTTACATCTCACAAATCGTTTTTATTTTCACATATATTATAGAGAGCACATTCCTAAGTAATAAGCACTTTGAATTTTGTGGCGCTCTCTTCTGGTTCCAGAGATATGCAATTTTAAAGTTTCACAGTTTTAATGCTTTTTCTGTTATAAAATAAGAAAAAATAAAGTTTGTTTTTGTTGTATTTGTGTAAATCAGATGTGGAAAAAGTGTTTGTTTACATTTCGGGAACGAAGCTCTTTGAATTTTTCCATTTTTCACGCGAAGCAAAGTTCAACGCAAATCTATGTGTCTAGTTTCTTAATAGTGGA